GACGGCTAGCGCAGATGGCCCTCGTGTAGCATTGCGCGAAATTCAAAAACAAACAAACAATGAATCTCTCTGAAATTGAACAAATACTAACAAAAAAATGTATAACTCACTTTTATCGGCGCTTAGTATAATTACGAAAGAACATGATTAAAACTGACGTCATTTTAATATACGGCAAAAGTCGAGTAACTTGAATACCTATGAATAAAATTTCGTGAAATTGTCGAGCTTATTAGACAAATGTAACCCGTGTCTCTGTAACACACGTGAAAGAAACATATTTACAAAATCTAGACTTTATAAGCAAATAATTTTTCATGGCACGAAGTAGATACTTAGTTGTTTATAATCTAGTTATTACAATATGCATATTATTAATTGTTTTTTAAACTTTCCCTAAAATACGTTATCAATTGGTTGTCTCACAATGTTAAACAATATGTCACTTATAATGGCTGGAGACGGCTTGAATGTGTAATGAAGAAAAACTTTAATATAAGTTTAACATAACAGCAAATGTACAACGTTTCGACTAAGGTTTTGCCATTCAAGCCGTCTCCAGCCATTATTAGTCTCAAAGTGGGTTCCTCGTCACCGAATATGTCACTTAGGTTCATTGGTTGGATTTTTAGTTCAATCATACTTTAAGACTGTATAAAGATTATTATAGGAAGCTAATTAATATTTTTACATTTTACATTTCAAAGAAATATATTTCAATATTTAAATATTATAAAAACGAACAGTGATAAATCAGAGTGTTTACGATGGGAGAAGTCTGTATAACGTGTTACGATAGAAGCTTGTATAACGTTTTACAGCAGAACATTATAAAACGTTTCTTGTCCTCCGGTGGGACAGCGGTAAGTCTACGGATTTACGACGATAAAATCCGGAGTTCGATTACCCGCGATGGACACAGCTGATAGCCCAATGTGGGTTTGCTCTCAGGCAAACAAACGAAAATTCTCACCTGATACTGAGAAAGTGGTTTAAAAAGCACTTATAAAAAATAGAAGTGTCTCTTCGTTGGAGTATGCTTTCATCAAAACTAGATTCAAGTCATTATAATAAGGAACTTGAAAGTTTTTACAGAAATAACATGAAAAATGTGGTTTGAAAAAGTTTAAGGTTATGAACTAGTTTAATAATCTATATCGGTACTTTTTTTCTAACATAGTTGTTAGTTAAATCACGTGGAAAAAAAATAAATCTCGTGATTTAGACCACAAAACGTTTAGGAATCAACGAGTTAAACAAGTCTTTATGGAGGATTGAGGATAAAAACATAAAGAATCGTCGAGTTAAACAAGTCTTTATGGAGGATTGAGGATAAAAGCATAAAGAATCATCGAGTTAAACGAGACTTTATGGAGGATTGAGGATAAAAACATTAAGAATCGTCGAGTTAAACAAGTCTTTATGGAGGATTGAGGATAAAAGCATAAAGAATCATCGAGTTAAACGAGACTTTATGGAGGATTGAGGATAAAAACATTAAGAATCGTCGAGTTAAACAAGTCTTTATGGAGGATTGACCATAAAAACATAAAGAATCATCGAGTTAAACAAGTCTTTATGGAGGATTGACCACAAAAACATAAAGAATCATCGAGTTAAACAAGTCTTTATGGAGGATTGAGGATAAAAACATAAAGAATCGCCGAGTT